GTATACATATATTTAGATGCCGTACAGATGTCACTGGATGATAAAGAAACACCAATGAAAAAAATTAGCTTAACAGCAGACAGCACAAAGGTGTAAATTAAACTGTAAAAACAGTCTTCTGTTTGTTTGTTTTTTGTGATTAAGATAGTCTCTCTATTTGACCCTTTATCACAAAACATTGTTTGATGATCTGTCACCTCTGTATCACCGGTGATGCATCTGTAAGTCTGTACCCTTTCCTTAATACACCTCTGGGCAGAGGTTGCCAGGCTGTTTGGCAGATGTGACGTCAAGCACGTCCATGTTAAACGCGTCCGACCTTTCAAAAAAATCTAAGCTTTATATTCAATATTGACTTTGTGGATACTCATAAGTGACCAGCATCCAACTAAACTCAGAAAATAACAACAACTCCAAGTAAGGTGGGAAAAAATTAATAAAAACTTGTTTAGTTTGAGCTTAAGCTACGAGAATGAGCAGAGGAGCGCTGCAGTTCTGGGTTTGGGCCACAGGTGGCAGTATCATCAGAGAACTCCGTAATGCTAGCCTGATAAACCAGACTAAATGTGAGATTAAATGTGTTATTTAGTCTGGCCCCGATGAATGAGACATCTGAAGATTGTTGATGAGAACAACCCGTTGTCTTTCGAACCATGTCTGTGCCTATTGGTCAACGCTCTCACCAATGAGCGCAACTGACTGTGACGTAGTAAGCGCGACAGAAAGCTGGTGGGGGAGTGTAATAAACACCATATCGGTAAAACTGATTCCATAGTAAAACAAGAACTGTTCAATGGTTGTTGCCATCTTCCTTGTTGTGCTTTCTCCAGCGTCACACAGCCCACCAGTTCTAGGGCCTGGGGCATTAATCGAGACTCGGCATCGCAGGCAAAAATGATTTTGGCTGCTGGCGGATGGGGCTAGTTTACTAGGCTACCATAATGCCTCTTTAATGTGATAAAACCCAAATCAGTAAGGATCTGAATTTGTATATTCTTCACTTATTAAGGTTTACTTAAAAAAAAAGTCTGTTTTACTATCATTATGAATGGTTGCTGATCAAAACAGCAACATTTGTTAAAAATATCAACCTTTCTCCTGTCTATCTTCTGCCTTTGGCTGGTCAGGTTCTGATATAGTTTTCTCATTTTGTCAGGTTTGCAGTAAGATCATCACAATAACTCTTTAAGCAGCAGAACTTACTGTGGTTTAGGCGGACGTAATTTTGGGGGGAATTTTTGAGCTTCTAAAAAACAGAGAACTGAAAAAAAAAAAAAAAAAACTTAATCCAAAGAATTTTACTGTGCCTTTGTACATTGGTAAACATTCTGCAGCTCTTGTGTCAGAGGCAACAGAGCAGCCTACAGCTTAATACAACTTTTTTTAAATGCACCCCTTGATGGATATAGACACATATTGTTATTACTCAAGGTAGCTCCGAGTGGCTGCCTAGTGTTTGGAAGTTGTGGCCAAGTGGTTAAAGATGATGGTGGTCAGAGGGCCTGGTGGACCCTGTATACAGCAGCCTTGCTTCTATCAGCGTGCCCCAGGGCAGCTGTGGCTACATTGTAGCTTACCGGCATCAATGTGTGAATGTGTTCATACATGGGTGAATGTATAAAGCTCCGGTGTCCCCTGACTTGAAAATAAGCTATATAGCTACAGACTATTTAGAGAGAGAAGAGTTTGAATCATGGTGAAGTGGCAGAATCCCTGTTTAAAACAGACTGAAAGTCTGGTTGAATCCAAAACCGCTCCCTAACCACTAACCCTTAACTGTCAAGTGTCACTCGTAATTAAGTTACTATCATCTGTGGAAGGCACTTTGATTAATGGTGGTGTTGGAATGGGACGGCCTCTTCCTTCCAATGGAAAGCTCTGTAGCTGTGTGGCACAGAGCTTTCCAACAACATCAAACATTTGCCCCTTTCTTGAAAATAAATGTATGCAGTCATGTATAAATATTTCAAAAAGGACCTCCTCTTTAGGATTAATTGATTAATTTCTTGGGCCTCTGGGTCACATAGCAAGACCCTTGGCCTCAGAATGCTCACCCAAAAAGTTGCTCTGCATACTTGCTCACTGTTACCTAAAGAATGGGTTACAACCACTGGACAAATGTAGCTCATTTCACTGAAATATTGAGTCTCAGCCACAAGTAAAGGTAAATAGTAAATGGTAAATGGCATGTACTTATATAGCGCCTTTATTCAAGTTAGGAGACTTGACCCAAGCGCTTTACACTACATTCATTCACCCATTCACACACACACTCACACACTGATGGTGGCAAGCTACATTGTAGCCACAGTTGCCCTGGGGCTCACTGACAGAAGTATGTTAAAGTTTTTTTTTTTTTTTTTATAATGCTTAAACATGACATTTAAAAGATAAAAGTAGTGTTTAATGACAGCAGGATGGCTACACCTTGGAGAGATCACCAGAATAACATATTGTCTTATTGCACACAATAAGACAATACATACATCACCATGAATCACATACTGTAAGCTCTGCTACTAGAAAATAATACATAATTAAAATAAAAGTAAATATATATGAAGGACAATGCAACTAATGCAATGTTAAGCACCGGAGAATAAAAGTATTCTTAAGACCATTATACAGGAGGTGATATTTTGATATTAAGGGGCAGAGTCTGGAGCCAGCAGCACCACAAGCTAGTCATTTTGTTCTAGTCCATTTAAAGCTTTACCAAACAAACAACAAAAATCAAGTATACATCTAATAGGAAGCCAGTGCAAATATGTGCAAGAATAAGTGAAACATGTTCATGCTTCTTGATTGCTGTTAAGAGCTGAGGCACAGAGTTTGGGACTAACTGCAGGTGGTTAAAGTGGTCTTTAATTAATGCCTTATTGCTGAAGCATTGCTGTAGTCCAGACAAAGTAAAAGTGTGGTAGGGTTAGTCGGTGGTAAGGGGGGTAAGGACTTGCACAAAATTCTTAAAATATAAAACTGGTAACACTTTGAATAAGAGACAGAAATTATCAAAACTGGCTTTAACAACACTTAAAGAGTTTAAAATCCAGATGGATAGTAGGCTAAGGCTAGTGGCTAAAAGAAAAACATATTCTTTAAGCATGCCCAGATTATTCAGAGGGTCCATAGGTCTAAACACCAGAAATTCTATTTTGCTTCCATCGGGAGTTAAGATGTGTTCAGTCAACCAAGCCTTTGCGTCACTAAGACATTGAAGTAAAGGATTAAACCAGCTATTACCGGTCCTCCTTATGGGCATATAGATCCAACTGTCATCCGCATAGAAGTGATTGGACACAATCAATGCATCCCATGTTACAGGATCAACCAGTGGGATTGAAGTTTTATTAATTTATTCTATATCAGTATTTTCATGTTGTATCCTGGACATAAACAGATCCATTACCAATTACTTCTGGTCTATTTTGTGTTAATAGCATATGTTTCTATTATGGCTCATGAAAATATAGCTGTTGTCATTAAAATGCAAAAATATATACCTAATCAAGTTGAGATTAGATTGCATTTCTAAATTGAAATGTTTGGTTTTAATTGTAAATAAAAAGTGTTTGCTTAAAGCTTAAGTGTGTAATTTTCAGCGACATCTAACGTCCAGACTGCAGACCGCAGCAACATGAACATCTCCCCCCCACCGCTTCTCCCCCCCAACAGTACGGCGAGCGTTACGGGACAAAATGTCTTCCACGACGTCCGCATCACCTACCTTCTCAAGTGATGAGGTTTGTTTACATAGATAATTTTACAGATAGTATTTCATTAGTCTGTGTAGGGTATAAATTTCATGTAGACTTAAGATAATAAATATACCCGTAATGGGCGATCTCGCAATCACTAGTTTGTTGGCTCTGCGCTGCCGTAGCGCAAAGATGTCTGCCTCCATGGCTGCGAGACCCGCTCCTATGTAATTATAAATAACGAATTCTAAGGCAACGCAAATATTAAGGTTAAGAGGCTGAGCTCGTACATGATGATAAATAACATAGTTATGTATAATATATTACATTTCTGACTGTATATCCCTGTAATTATTACACACTGTAGCTTTAAGTAAAAAAAAAAAAAAAAAAAACATTTGTTGCATTGTTTATTTAAGTCTCTACACTGTGTATTAATATTGTGTGAGTGCAGTTGTTGATTAACCCAAAAGTATATATGGAGAGAGGAGGGATTAGAGTCTTTCTGTTAAATAAAGATATCTGGATAAGGTTTCTCTCACTTTCACTACCTCTAACGACTGCCCTTTAAGCGGGGAAGTCAGAGATGGCATACTTCCTTGCTAAATGTACTTTCTTCTCTTTCAACAGCCACTATCACTACCCTAGAGCAAGAGACTGTGACTCATGAAAGCTTCCCCAGAGTTTCTCAGCTGCACAGTGTGGATAAATTAAGATTTCTTATAAAGAAAGAGGAAATAAAATGTCTCGAGGGTTGAAATAAGAGATATCGGAATGTGCGTGAGCAGGCCTCAGGGGTAGAAGTGTGAGGACAGACAGAGTGTTCCTCCTGTCAAGCTGCTTGAGAAGAGCCAGGTGACCACAGGCGCATAGGGGGAGAAGGTCAGAGGCTGCGCTGCACTGCAAATACTTTGGTGAAAGAGCATCTGAGGTCAAACAACACCTAAGCAGCGACCCTCTGCGGTGTTAAAATACTTAGGTTAAAGAAATTCAGACTACTTTCTGAACCAGTCTGGTGTGGTGTGTGTGTGTGTGTGTGTGTGTGCTTATGTTTTCAGAACAGGGAAGGAGGATATTATCGATCTGGTAGAGTTAAGCTTCCTTTTAAATCTGATCTCGTAACACTGCTTTGTAACAGGTTTACTCATAGATTTTAGCCTAATAAAGTGTCTGTGTGTGTGGGGGTTCTCGTTGGAGGACTTAATTAGAGTATTATTCAAAACATGCTACACAGCTTTGGCAGTCGGGGGGGAATGTGACGACTGAGCATCATGCTCGCCCCTTCCAGTGTTCTCACGGGAAAACCGCTCAGGATGCAAACAGGGGCTTAGAGCATATGTGTGAGGTTTTTTTCCCCTAGTCCTATTAAGACCTTTATTTATTTTCCAGGTTGTGAGGCTCACGAAGCAGAGCTATAATAAGAACATTAGAGCAATTTGAGCCAGAGAGTTGCCGGTGAAGCAGCTTAAACAATAATGTGACACCATTCAAAGCTATGCACACTCGACGGGTTAAATTAAATCTGTGGTTAACAACCTATGTGGAAATGCCATTGAATTATTTTTTCCCAAAACTAATATCTGCTATATACTTTTTTTTAGAACTTTGTAGGAGACCGTTATTCACTTCTATGACACTTCAGAAAAAAGAAAAACAATTAAATTCTACTTTTCCCTGCACACTACGTGTCTGTTTTTAATTTAACCTGCTGGATGGAGGTAGTGCCCTGGGATGGACTGGCGACCATTCCAGGGTGTACCCCGCCTCTCGCCCGTAGACAGCTGGAGATAGGCATCAGCAGCCCCTGCAACCCCGCTTGGGATAAGCGTGACAGAAGATGGATGGATGGATGGATGGATGGATGGATGGATGGATGGATGGATGGATGGATGGATGGATGGATGGATGGATGGAT